TGTGGGTAGGCGCGAGTGGTTGGTTTATCTGGAAGAATTTCAGTGATTGCATTAATCAACTAAGCCTCAGTGAGCTGGCGCGTCCCTTGCACACAGCCTTAATTTATTAATTAGTTAAGTTCAATCGGGTGGCATGCAGCAGGCTGTGTGGATAGAACCGGGTGCACTAAATCGGTTTGTGCAAGCCATAGCCCAAGGTCAGTGGGATCAATCGTGCCGCGATCCAGTGTTCGTTTTTACTGCACGTTATGGCTCTTTGTCAGAGGTGGCGTCAGGCCCGGTGGAGCGGCCTCTGTTTCTGGCGCTCGATAGAGACCAAGACCCTGGATAGACGCGTGAGTGTCGGAGGTCCGGGCAATAGCTCAGCGTGTGTACCACGAGACTGCGCAGTCCACAATTCCACACAACGCCGATGTACCTGAGCCTCCTGAGCCCGCGTTTTGCTTGCAATGAGGAGTCGTTGCGGCTTCCACGGTGCGGCGGGATTGCTGGCGCGGAAAGCCAGTTTTGGCCGTTTAGCAAACACGCCTTTTTTCTTAAACGCAGAGCACCGAGTGCAATTGGTGTGCGGCAAAAGCTGCTCTAGTTGAAGCGTAGACCGTAGAAAGGCGGGCTAGAGTCAGGCCGGCATCGAGAGGCGGGCTCGGACCAGGCCGGCATCGAGAGGCGGGCTCGAGTTACACCGGTATCGAGAGGCGGACTTGAGTGAGGCGGGCTCGAGTTATACCGGCATCGAGTGGCGGGCTCGAGTCAGGCCGGTATCGAGAGCCGGGCTCGAGTCAGGCCGGCATCGAGAGGCGGGCTCGAACCAGGCCGGCATCGAGAGGCGGGCTCGAGTTACACCGGCATCGAGAGGCAGACTCCAGTCAGCTGGCTGGAGTTAGCTGAAGTCAGTTATACAGCACCACCATCAATTTGGTGAGCCCCCTTTCAATAAGCGCCCTTCACACAACTTGTGGTCTTGTTCTATCAAGCATTTCATGCGAACGCTTCCCAACGCTTCACGCGGACGCTTACATTACGCTGAGCTGTGTGGGTCAGCATGCCCAGGGATCAGGCAATAAGTTGAGAAGTAAGAGTAAGAGAAGTCTTACATTGTTGACTGCATCAGTCGACGGGAGCTCAGGAACTAGGGGAGGAGGCAAGGTGCGGGGGTCTCAGCCCCCGATTTTCAGGAGACGCAGCATTGGTGCTATGGACGTTGACCTAAAGCTACCATTACAAAGGGCTGTCGACCCTCCAACCTGGGAAAAAATTCGCAGCACCTTTCAGTAGGTATGATCATTGCCGTTTGACAGAATGCGTCGCTCTGCAGTCGCACCGGCGCTCATAAGCTGAGCGCCGGTCAAATCAGATGCACAGCTCAGATTCTGTAGCCGATCTTCGCTACCGCTGACAGATTGCGGGAGTGTTCGTCTGCAACGCTCTGTGACATTGTCATCAGGTCTAGTGGTGACCAGGCCCAATGGATGGTTGGAGCTCTGTCGAAATTGCGCATTCTCATGTCCTCGAACCGCTGCAAGTTTAGGATTACTTTGAATGAGCTACTAAGAATAATTTCGCATGATGCCAACCCCGTGAAGGATGCCGGCAACAGTCTGAGAGTTGCTTGTTTCGATATGTTTGGTTTAAGGCGGGACAAGAGAAGCGGTGGCAATTTGTATGCAGTTCCCATATTCCAAATAACAACATGATCTGGTAGACAATGGAGAGATCCCTCGTTAATTGACAAAACCTTTCTTCAATTTCGGCTTACCTGTTTAAGCCAAAGCTAATTCTGACATCATCTCTTCTAAAGACTGCAACTGAAAATCACCTAGTCATGTGATGTAGTTTGAACTCTCAGAAAATACTAGACCAACTCTAAGTTTTACTCAGAAATGCAATACACAACAACACAGCCTGAGTCTTGCTCCTCACTTTCAATACCTGTATCACACAGGCATTTACATACAACCTTTTGAAACTAGAAATATCCGCAACCAAAATGATCAGGGACGGAACCAGTGATTGCTTTTGAAAGAGGAATGACGTTCAAATAATATCAAGACATTTTCAACCACCAACCACCGTACTATTTTTGATTGGTGAGCGGTGAGAAGGGTTTGAGCGCCTCCCCTCCCCAAATCTCCTTTCGAAACGAGGTTTAAATGACCCCGTCCGCGAAATCAAACAAACCCCTTTTATCCAGAGCCGCTCTCAGACCATGGGTACGCATCGATAGTGCCAGGTGCACGTGCAGTGGTTGATATGCTTGATGCACCAATCCCCTCACACTATCACTCTCATCAGATCTATCGCTTCAGTTTCGCTAAGTTCATCCTTGTCACGCCTCCGTCCGACTGCGTACTGCAAGCTTTCACACAGGCTTCGTGGGTGTTGCCTCCGCGGTGGTGTGGAGAAGTCGGCCCGACGCCAAATGGCCCTTATCTCGACAGCGTCCACGACAGATCGTTGGTGTCCTAAATGACCTAAAAACTGAAGGTCAGGCGGGCACCACCGGGGCAAGCTGCTTAAACTAACGCACGCCACACCGGTGTCGGAAATTTGGTTTTGGCTCTTGGGGTGAAACAAAAGTTATAAAATCACGGCTGGCAGTGAGAACCAAATAGCCAAGGTGAATTTGCACTGTGTACACAGCTGGTACTGTGTGACATACTTTAGCAGTAGTTGACAGTAAGCGTCATGTACTTGCTGGTCTCAGTGATTGCCAAAGGCCGTTAAAAATTGGCTGCTTGTAAATCTTCAACTTTCTAGCGTCCTTAGTAAGTGCTTCCTTCCCAAGTGCATGCCCAAACCTTTTGTTCTTCTTGAGGCTTTGAACGCGATAGAAAGTTGCCTACATTGGAAATTTTTTTAAAAATGTGTGAGTCTCAGTTAAGAATGATGGAAATCCATGCTTAAAATGTTGGGCACCTGTTTCATAATCCCCCAGATCGCCTTAAGATAAATGTACTATTGGAATTACATGCAAGCCACTATAATACAGACATACATACTTACACACACACACACACACACACACACACACACACACACACACACACACACACACACACACACACACACACACACACACACACACACACACACACACACACACACACACACACACACACACACGCACGCACACACGCACGCACGCACGCACGCACGCACGCACGCACGCACACACACACACACACACACACACACACACACACACACACACACACACCACACACACACACACACACACACACACACACACACACACACACACACACACATATATATATATATATATATATATATATATATATATATATATACCGTCTTAGGGACAGATGCTGGGTACCCACCTAGGCGACTTCCGACCTAGATGTATCTAATTTGGGACCAGGAGTGTGTTTCCTATTCTGCTGAATGGGGCTCTATGGCTCCTCTCCATAACTTTGAAAAGCAATTCGGTCAAATTCAGGGAGAGCATGGTTCGCGCTATTTATTAAGACACCGATTTTCTCCGCTTAGCCCTTCCCCCCAAAACTTCTGTACAAAACTGCACCAGCTGGGACGTCAAACTGCCGCGTGATCGGGGCTCTGAGGTCAATACAGCGGAGGCGGAGGAATTACCTCGTAGAGCAAGCCAGCTCTACTTGCTAGCTCCGCTTCACCTACTCACCAATGTTGAGTCTGATACAATACTTTTTTAGCGCATAACGCAGAGCTGTATTTATATGACTTATATGAGCTGCATTTATCGTAGCTCTTTGATATCATCAACCAGTCCCACTAATACCGCCCAACGCAGGCCCCGCACCCGGCTCTTCTAAAAAACAGAAACAAAAACGTACGGCCACAGAAAAGGCGCGCACAGAAGCAGTCTCCAGCGACAGGGCCGCCGTCAGATAGTTACCGTTTTTATATTGCTTTTCTAGAACCTCGATAATTTTGTAGAGATTATCCGTTGGCGAAAACCCATCTTAAATGTAACCTAAATCTCACAAAAGAAAATAATGACTTTAGTGCAAAGCGAAAAGTTCCGGCCTACGAAGAACAAAAAAACTCTGGCGTAGCTTCACACTCGGACCAGAATTTGGTGATGACGCTCTCAATATCGACAGGAAAAACTGCGTGCGCAAATTTAGTGCTCCTTTTGCTTAGTTTCACCCAGCAACCGCCTTGGATTTCTTGGTGGAGAATAATGCCTTCTCTCCAGTGCCAAATCCTCCCCAAGAGCCGGGGACTTGAGCAACCGTGGATTTTCGCCTGCGCAAGCAATTGTTTAGGATGGTGTTTCCGGCACTGTTATACCTACCATACAACCTTCATTTGCATACCTTCAAATGGAAGTTTAATAAAGGTGGCATAAAAAAGAGTTAAAACTTATTTTCTACGCAATGCATGACCGATTCACGTTAGGTTTACATGCGTGTGCTTGTGTGACATCAGCGCATTTTCATATAAATTTGTGTTGTGTTACAATGATTTCAGCGTGCAATCCACACGCGTTGAATCGTGACCTATATGAGGTGCCCTCTGTTCTCTCCGTTCACTCTGCCTATCCGCCCCGCCAGGAGAGGCGGTTGTTTTGAGTAGCGGGCTCGGAGTCCGGCGTCTGAGCACGGGGGCGTCGTTGATGGACGGTAGGTTAAACGTGTGGTGGTGAGCAGCAACGGACCTGGGCATTGGGTGCGTTCCAAGGTAAGATTGCATGTGACGTGACAAAGATCCGGCTTAAATCCGCCAGCAGTATCCCTCGCTTAGTTGTGGCGAGTGTGGCACGCAATGCCGCCGAAGTTTCGGGCACGGCTTGCTTCTTCCTCACGTTGCACACAGAGAACAATTTTCATATTTTGAAACCGGCACGTTCATACCGATGTGTGCTCAACGCAGCGTCCTCCTCGCGTCAGAGGTTCGTTTTCCATTCCCGGGGTCTGGACGGAAAGAATGTGGGTCACGTGGTCTCCATGGACTTGCTATGCAGAACAGGAGCCGGTGGCGCACCCACCGTCCCTCACCTGACGGGAAAGGCGTGGCCAGCTCAAGTCGACCAGCGTCAGACGCCGAATTCTAGCCAGGTGATCGCAGCTTCCTCAGCTTCCAGGACGCGGATCCACAGTTCACAGCAAAGCCGGCGTCAGCAACCGCCGCGCGCGCCTCCGCCCTCCCACCGCCCAAACGTAGACTCACTGGCCGGAACGCTCGGCGGCACTCGCTCCCCGCCTCACCCGCCGCGGCCGATCACAGGGACCAAAGCCGCAGTCCACACACCGCTCCGCTGGATTGGGTCGGTGTTTCCGTGAGGCGCGAGGTCGCTTGCAGACACGGTCAGGCCTCATATGAGGCATTTTATTCGCAAACACGATCCTTGAGACGTTCAACATGCTCTCGCCTCTCATGCGAAAACGAGATATAAATACAGGCTGATGTGACTGTTGCACGGTGCATCATCCCGAGTCATGCGATACGTTTTTGAGAGCACTCTCAGCAAAAAAGTGACACTTTCCAACGTTTTTAGTAAGCGTTATAGCATCGCAGGCTCACATGAACTTTTCAACAATTTTCAAGAAAGTGTTCACATTGGTATGGGACTTTGCACTAAAAAAGCCATCTCGAAGATAATTCGGTGCAGTTCACAGCACTACCCTTATTAAGACCTAAGCCCCTTTAGTTTCTGAGCTACATGCCAGCGAAAATGTGCAGCCAATTTCGCAGGGGGAGGGGACTTTTCCAGTATCACTCAGGCATCCATGACGTCATAATAACTTCATTCAAATCTTGCCATTTCATTGGCCATTCGGTGATCAAGGCTAACAAATGTAATTGTCGAATGATTCATATGTAGCGCTCGTGAGCATGATTTCCAGATATAACGACCGTCAATTGACTCTCAATCAATGTTGTGGAAGGCAAGATGACGTAATCAGACAATGACGTACTGAGGAGCATATTTACTAAATAGAGAAAACGTGTTGTCTAGAGCGGTCGTTTGCCAATAGTTACTAGTTAAATATAGCTATGAATTTTGTTAAAGTTAGTATAGTTATGAATATAGTTAAAATATGTCCTGGGGCACACGATCAGTCGAGCCCTGTATACTGCGTCTTGGGTACTTTTAATTTGCTAGCAGGGCCCTACGATTGTATTGAGGGCCCCATTCGTTAACCTTCTCGGGCACACTCGATCGTTCGGAGCCCACCACACTCGATCTTGGGTACTTCCCATTTCCTTTGATGGTCCTACCCTCCTATCGGGGACCGCATCTGTTAACCTGCCCGGGTGCTCTTGATCGCTCTGTGACCCTCCATATTGGGTCTTGCTTGCTTTGTATTTGAATGGAGAGCCCTATGCTCTTGTCGAGGGCACCATCTGTTAACCGATTCGCTGTCAATTAAGTATTTTAAGTCGCTCGAGGTTCACGGTGTTGGCTATCGGAACAAGCTATTTTCAGTCGCTCGATCAGTACAAAAAAGCACCCACTGAGGAGGGGGTGGAACATACCTGACCCGAAGCACGGATTAGGGCGGACGGTCCGGCTCGTTGGTGGCGGCGAATGGATGGGCAGATTCCTAGAATGTGGGGGAGTTTGGTGGATGACGTCATGTGCACAACCGGGATTTCACTTTACCATCGCGTTTGTAAATAAGACAGTAGTAATAGGCTTATTCCTCGGAAAAAACGGGGAATAGCCTTATTATTCGAAGAAAAGGGGAATGGAGGTATAGATGCTTTGATATATATATATATATATATATATATATATATATATATATATGTATGTATGTATATATATATATGTGTGTGTGTGTGTGTGTGTGTGGTGTGTGTGTGTGTGTGTGTGTGTGTGTGTGTGTGCGCGTGCGTGCGTGCGTGCGTGCGTGCGTGCGTGCGTGCGTGCGTGCGTGCGTGCGTGCGTGCGTGCGTGCGTGCGTGCGTGCGGCGTGCGTGCGTGCGTGCGTGCGTGCGTGCGTGCTGCGTGCGTGCGTGCGTGCGTGCGTGCGTGCGTGTGTGCGTGTGTGTGTGTGGTGTGTGTGTGTGTGTGTGGTGGTGTGTGTGTGTGGTGTGTGTGTGTGTGTGTGTGGTGTGTGTGTGTGTGTAAGCCTAGCCGAGATTGTGCGATGGCATGGCTCGTAATGCATCCAACTTGTGTATCCAACAATCCTCTGCCCCACTGGCCGCTGACATGTCGAGAACCTCCGCACTCGCTTTGTTCCGTCCCATCAGTCCGCCTCCCCTCCCCCCTCCCCGCGGCCCGGCGACCCGACCCCGACACGGGTCACGTGGTCACGCACCAATCCCCGCGCGCCACGCAGGGCTGAGCCCCAGGGCGACGCCCCTGACAAGGTGACCCGAGCCGGCAGCCCGGACGGGTCCGGACGGAACCGGACCGACCAGGCCGGCCGGCCCAGCATCCAGCAGGGGAGTGTACCACCAGCGCAAGCAGCTGCACGCAGGCCGGGGCCACTTTTGTGGTGCAGGCCCGCGTGCTCTTTTTCTCCAAGGAATAAGGCCATTACCACCGGCGTATTTTTGTAGATAATGCTGTTCGAAGATGCACTTAACAGTGCATTGGTACACATCGCGTTGGTGAATTCAACACGTGTTATGGACATGTTCAGCCTTGTCGCATCGAGCGCGACAGTTTGATATGCGTCATGGTATAAATATCACAAGACCACAGATACTCAGCTGTTATTACGCACATCATTAGTTATGGCTATAATAAGCCATTTATGTATGCATCAAGCTCGCTTACTGGAAAATGAATGCCAAAAGGGTCTTGCATGAACAAGTGCTAGCCAGTGAGTGGTGGCATCACGTACCTGCTTATTTTGGAGCATCTGCCTATGCACCACAACCGGAATGCTGCGAGTTGGTACCCATATAATTGTAAGCGTGCGACGCCAGCCTGGTGCAAAATCTTTTGGCGTGGTGCATGATGCGTGAGCAAATGACATTTTGCGGATATGCTCTGCTACACGCATGGGTGTAAATAGTTTTAAGTGAAGTCTGAGGTAAATACCAGCCGTAGGTAAGTGCCACGCTGAGAAGGATTGTCATTACCACGTCTAAATCCGCACAGATTTGAGAAAAATAATTATCATGTAATGCTCAGCGGCGATTTGCTTTGTTGTTGCCCCTCCCCATCCTGTTGCTACGGAGATCAGCAATGACTATGGCAGATAACACCGTGAAAGAACTGTGCAAAGACTACCAGCTCTTTTGGGAACAGGTTTCTGACAGTCATCCTGTCAAATTGTGCACGAAAAAGACGGCGTTGTTAATTCCTTATGCGTTTGGATGGCAGGTGAATGCGATTAATTCAGAAGATAAAACAACTTAAGAGAAAGCATTCGTTTGACGGTGGCAAACGATGCCAACCGTTTTAATTATTTCGCTTAGCGATCATTTTTAACATGCACCCGGATAGCCGGTTGGATGCCATTCGCTCGGGTGGGGATTCATTTGACCTCCTGAGATATCGGGAACTAACAGTTAAAGACAACAAATACACAGTGTGTTAGGCTGTAGGTGAATTCACTTAGATCAAAGTTTGAGGTTCTTAGGTTATGTCATTTGGGTCAAATAAGGTCAGACAAGGTCAAACTCCAGATTGGTCTCCAAAGGGCTCCCCAGAACTTAGGTACCTGTTCTAAGCAAAAGGTCACATGCTCGTTTACGGTCAGTGACATTGTCTGCCATTTTGAAGGTCAGAGTGGTCAATCATACAAGACTGGTTTGAGTTTTGCCTTTGGATAAGCGACAAAGACTACTCTAGGCAATATGTTCCTAAAAACGAAATGTTGATCTGGGCCATTTTAGGTTAGTGACACTTTCCTGGTCTATAAAAAGCTCATGGAAGGCTATGATGCGGTTCAAGTTATCGATAAATCCGAAATGAGCGCCGGAGACCATCCTAAACAGCAAGCCTTTAAATAATAAAGCATGCTGGCTTTGGCCTTGGTCTGGCCCTCATACCTGACACTAGGTCCATGGAGTTCATTTATTCAGGTGTCGCGTTGACTCAGAAAGTACCTCAGAAATGTGTTACTTTGTGTTACACTCCGTTGTTGCATCAGATTGAGCGATTCCCCCAAAAATGACTTCGCGGAATCCATGGCCCGACTCTGACTTGCCGTAGGTTAAGACCCTGACAAGGTATCTTTAAGTTGTTTATACCAAACGATCTGCAGTTCAGTTGTCTGCAGATAGGCAAAATGTAGTGTGGCTACGCCTCGCCGTTCGGACCACCCCAGAAAAAATATCGGGGGGGGGGCAAATTGACCTCCCACCCGAGCGCGTGTAAAACAAATTAAAAGTACCCAAGGCGCGATGTGAAGGGCCCCCGAGCGATCAGGCGTGATCAAACAGGTTAATAAATAGAGTCCCCTGCAAGAGCGTAGGGTCATCCACACAGAGATCACAAGGACATTCAGATAGGAAGTACCAAATACCCCATGTGACGTGTCCCCGAACCACCGAGTCCGCCCGGGCGGGTCGACAGATGGGGGCCCCCGACAAGAGTGCAGGGCCCGCCAAGCAAATTAAACGTACCCGAGACACAATATCGAGGGTTCCGAGTGATCGCGCACGCCAGAACTATTTAGCCGATTCGCTGTCGCGGCCGCTTGAGGCAGCTGATGTGTTCCCTGTCAGAAGTTTGTGCTCTGAGGGTATGGAGTGAGTCCTATATTCCCCTTTCATTGATTGATGGATCATTGGTCGCATTTGGAGATCCCCCGGTAATTACGAGTGACCGGTCGCCCACAGGGATATCGGGGGTGGGGAGTGAGCGTTTCGCACCCATTCAGAGGAGCGGAGGTGCCGGTCAACAGGCCGGCTGACTGGGCGGCCCGCTGGTCAGGCGGGTCGCCTGATCAGGTGGGTGGTCAGCACGCCGAGCTCATCGCTCACCACTACATTTTTCAATCTGGGTTGGAGTTCCTGGCGGTTGCATGCAACTGATCACACGCAGTTTTTTAGCTGTTCGGTGTTCAAGAAACACTGGGCCCGAAAAAGCCATGCTCGAACCTGTCGATAGCTTCAGTGTCAGAAGCCCGCTGTGGGCGGCTCAACTCAGTCACCGATCACTTACAAGGATTTCCAGCATGTGGAAAGTCTTTGTCTGTCCATGGCATTGGTGGTTGGATCGTGCGATTGGCTAATC